GAACTTTTTGCAGGTAGATTCGCCTTCCAATACGCGCAATTACCGTCCGACGTCCTTCCTCATGATGAATTCGCCCATGGCGTCGTCATTCCCTGCCATATCAGACGTTCCACCGAGTGAAAGCAGCACGATTGAGGATCATTTGACCTTTTCCAGCCATACGGAAATGCTGGACTACGTCACCAAGAACTGGAGATCCGATTTCGTGACCGTGGATCTCAGGAGCCAGTCTCTACTGGAAAAATTCTCAACCAGGCCGTTTTTCATGGTCGTCAGTGTGGACGCCCCGATTCTCATTCGCTATCACAGAAGTATGAGGCGAGTATCTACTCTCTACACGCAGCACATGTACATCAGACTGAGTGTCTTGTCCCATCCTTTCTCAGAGGGAGGAGCGGCGAAAACTCTGAGTCCCTGCGAACGTTCGTACAAGAGCACGATGAGCATTTCTATGGACCGAGCGACAGCACCTCGCAATATTCGCAGCCCGCTACTCGTCCACCACTCCGAACTCTGCATCATCTCGTCAGCCTATACGTCATCAATTCTTTCGATAACCTCGAGGAGTTTCACAGGCATCTGGAAAGCCTAGATCTGGCGAATCCGGAACGCCTTCGACCGGGCTGGGATACCTACTTCATGCGCCTCGCGTCTCTCGCGTCTCTCAGATCGAATTGCATGAAGCGAAGAGTTGGGGCTATCCTTGTCCGTAACAAGCGTATACTGGCTTCAGGGTGGGTCAGCTTCCAGCACAAGGGTTTAACAGCTACTCATACGCCTGTTACAGGTACAATGGGACGCCGAGAGGTCTCACGAATTGCAACGAAGGCGGATGCACCAGGTGCAACATGGCAAGCGAGACCGTAGCCGAATGTGTTTGTCTTCATGCTGAGGAAAATGCGCTCCTCGAAGCAGGCCGGGAGCGAGTAGGTGACGGCGGCGCAGTGCTATACTGCAACACGTAAGCGATCAACATAGGCATGGCAGTCACCCTTGCTGAAACTATGTCCTTAGATGCCCATGCTTGACATGTACAATCAAAATTATACAGGCTGGTGTGCAGGAGGTAGTATATAATCTGAGCTACAAAGTGTAGGTCGCCCTGTGAACTTTTTCTGCGTGACTAATACGATTATTGCCGAGACAGAGACGACGCCTCGGCCGCGCTCTTCAGGGAAGCGGGCGTGATGCTTCGTCGACACGCACCACCACCAGATATTTGACACCTGGTTCGCCACACGCCTTCAGATACGTTTGTAGGTCTAGGGGGACACTATTATTCGCATATTCCGCGAAATATCCCATCTTGATTCGCAGAGGAACGCGCATGCGGGGATGCTACCTGCAGTAGCCGACAATGCAAGCCAAACAGCGTCCTCATGCTCGAGACAGAGTGCCTTGAAAAGCTTGACCGCACAAGCCTGCAGCTCCTCGTGTGCCCCAGCGTGTAGGAACCGCCGGCACGCAACGATGACTTCCCATGCCACCTGGTTTTGCGCCTTGACACCCGCGACGGAGGCGGACAACGTGTTGAGAATCGCGGTGTAGAGACGGTGCGAGTGAGTATAGGCTGAACTCGTGCCGACTGCGCCTGGAGCCCGCCGAGCGAGAGCATTGGTGACATCGGCTTGTTCGAGTTGATACAGCATCTTCCGAAACCGCGGCCAAATGTCGGTCCAGACTCTTCGGTACATGAAGTCGCCGACGTGGGTGGCAAGGGCTTCCACGAGGGCTGCCGCAGCGCGTGTCACATATGGCTCTGGGTCAGAGAAGCGGTTCAGGATGAACGGCCAGGCGTGGTGTATCGACTGGAGTAACGCAGAGTCCGGCAGAACTGGTACAGCCGAGCTGAGCAAATTCAGGATCCTGGCCCTGATCATGGCGGACCCGTGTGTGAGGAAGTAGAGTGACCGCGAGACGATGAGCTTTGTCAGCGCTTGAGTCGGGGTTGGAGGTGGCTCAGCCAGGGGATCCTCGGCTGTATGGGAAGCCTCTTCAGTCGCGTCTTCATTCTTCCCCTTGCCCCATGATTCCCGAGGGAATGAGCCAGGCTCAAAGTCGGGAGGTAAATCGTCCGGAGGATTGACCGGCTTCTCGTGGCGGTGAACGACCCAGTCGCACAGCTCAGAGAACTTATCCGCATCTAGTTGGGATCGTGTCTTAGCAGGTGTAGCCGTTTTAGAAGCTTCAGGGAGATTGATTTCATCCGTCCCAATGACAACAACAACCTCGAGCAGCACCGCGACAAGGCCGTCGACGATGACCTCGTAGCCGTGGTATTCGTCCAAACGATCGAAGCACTCCTCAACGACGTCACCCGCCTTCTGGACCACCTCACGACCCACCAAGCGGACGAGGACAACGAGCACTCTTGTGGCGTCTACGTCGAGCCACCGGCGGTTCAGTCGTCGGGACACGGCATCCAAAGCATAATCAAAGTTGGACAGTAGCAAGTTCGCTGGAGAGGCGTAGGATGTGCAGTACGAGATGTAATGCAAGGTCGCCAGCGCAGTCGACGAGAGATAGTCGTGGTCTGAAACGAGGGCATTGAGGACGGGATATAGGGTGTATAGCAAAAGATGAGTAAAGCCTGTTTGCAGAATCCCGGCACATATGGCGAGAGACTGTAGTGCCAGGGCTCGATACAGGGCGGGCGAAGAGGCATGTCGCTTGGAAGCAGTGCTGGGCCTCGAAAAATCGACTTGCATGGGTGCTCGAATCTGGGTTAAGCCCTTGATATGTTCAACGAGCGGCTCGTCGTTCTGGGCTTCAGTCTTAGTTTTGAGAATGGGCTCTGGGTCGGAAGGCAGGGACCGGCCCTCGTCGTCCCAAAGCTCCGGAAGAGCTTTGGCGAGCCATCGCGCGAATTTTTCCAGCCTTCTACGCTTCGGAACAATCTGCGGTCTTTGACCAATCTCAAGAGAAACGCCAGCGATGCCCTCTAGCAGCCGTGTCCCGCACCAGAGCGCAGCGGCAGCTTCAGCCTCCTCGCTTGCACGACCGACCCCGAAGAACCACTCGACGGCAAACAGTCCGTCTTCCTGAGCTGCTCGACCAAGAGCTCGGAACATGCGCTCCAAGGCTTGCTGGGCGGAGCGGGAGGCCACTTGACGGAGGTTGGCCTCCGGGAATGAGACAAGTTGTGCGGCTTGAATATCATTCTCCAGCATGAGCTGCGCGGACGATGTCGACGTCGCGGTGATTGAAGGTACTGTTAAATCCAGGACCGACAGCAGGCTCCAGCCCCAACGTTCTATTCCCCCGTTCGGCCCAAGTAGCTTGCTCACTTCCAAAGCTACAGTGCGAAGGCCCTGGCGACCATCTCGAGTCGTTCCCAGACTACAGATAGCCTCCACGATTCCCGCACTGTGTTCCACTTTCATATCTGATTGTGTCGGGATGAGTCGCGGGAAGCGCATGAGGTGGTCCTTCGCGATATGCAGCAGCGTCTGAAGGAGCTCGGATCTCGCAGGGTCGCCGCAGAGGTCGAGTAGATGCGCCGTCGCCTGCTTCGAGACGTCTGGGAAGTCGGACAGGGAAAGAAATAGGAGGAAAGATAGCAGTAGAGGCTGGCTTTGCGGTAGTGTGAGCATGGTCGCTCGCAATATCGCGGAAGCAAAATCGGTGAGCGTTCGGAGGGCAGTAGCGGAAGGGTGAGTGACAAGAGGATTCAGGGTATTGAGAGCGATATGGAGTTGTGAGCTAGTTCCACGCAGCCAAGAAGACGTACGACGGGTCGCATACGGAGGCGTAGGCTTTGGGTCTTCTACGGGTGCGTCCGAGGTCAGTTCAGTCAAATTTTCTAAGGTAGTTGGGCCCCGCACTGCTCCCTCTGCAACGCAGATTTCGTCCCCAATGGCACGAATGGTGACAGCTCGAATTACATCCAGAGCAAGTGCAACGGTCTCTCCGTTTGCCCATCGCTTCGAGATACCAGTGGCCAGGGCAATCTTGCACATGCTGCTGACGACTCCGGGAAGTATGGAAGGGATGAAATCATCCGGAAGATAGCATTCGATGATGAGGCGAATGACCTTCAGGGAGGTGCGCTGGAGTGGCGCGTGCTGGGAACGCGACGCATCAAGCAGCGAGTTCACGGTCTGACCGAGAATGGGGATGAAGGGGCGCGTTTGACTGTGACTTCGGAACGTCGTAAATATGTCGTTGGCGCGTGAGCTGGGTCCAGCAGGGTCTTCGTCCGGAGGTCTCTCACGCAGCAATGTCCACAAGCATTGGGCGGCAGCTTCAATAGCTTCGTCGGCTCTTCGTTTCCCCTTCCCCTTCCCGTCCAGCCCACCAGTGATAGCACTACAGAGCATGAAGATCTGTTCCCACGTCGGCACGTCCATGTCCCACCACCAGTGGTCGCACAAGATGGAAAGGACGGTCAAAAGCTTCTCGAGGACTTGGTCCGGGACAGCAGCGTTGGTTGTACGCCGGAGAATGGAGGAGATAGGAAAGAAGATATAGGATATGAGAGACGGCTTGAATTGCCGACGTTGGCGTTCTGCATCGCGTAATGTCTCTATGAGTTGCGTTAAGAGGCTGGACACCTCTGGGATAGTAGATGGTGCCAGATGTGACTTTGCGACGAGTGGGACGCATATTGGCTTGAGCTACAAGATGTTGTTAACATCGCAGTTGAACATGGAATCGCTCGTGGCGGGGAGCCTCCACCTTTTGGAAGAATCTCTGGTTCTCTTCATCGCTCGCGTTCATGCCGGTCGTGCGATGGGCAGCCATGAGATCTCATCGACAAGAGTGGCAAGTGCCGAGCATGCCAGATACTCACGACGGCAGAGTCACTGGAACTGTGAGCCTGTGGAATAGCAGCTCATTGGTCATACTGCTCACCGGTCGTGACTCGGTCCAGCCCCCGAAGGCACTGTGGCAAGCGGCAAGCGGTGGGCGTCACGGAGCAGCGCCGAAAAATGAAAAATGAGTGGCGAAACGCTTCCGTTCCCGGACAACCACGGTTCTCCAGCCCCGCTTTCCTTTGTCCTCCTCTCGACTGGTCTAATTTATTGGCTCTTGTACTGCTAACTGCTCTTAATCTCTCTTTAACATCTAGATGCTTTGGACCTCCACATCCCGCTCACTATGATCCCGGACACACCCAGGATCTTGCTGATTGACTCGTATGATTCGTTCACGCACAAGTGGGTATCTCCAAATGCTCCTTCGTTGAAAGGTGGACTTACGGCGCACTAGTTTGGCTGCTTTATGTCGGCGCTCTATTCCTGGATGTATCGTCCATATTATCAAGAACAACACTATCCCTTTCTCCGATTTGAGTTCGGTCCTCGACCAGTTTTCCGCCGTCATCGTCGGACCCGGCCCAGGCTCACCTGACAGGCACGAGGATATCGGCATCGTTAGGAACATCTGGAAGCTTGACGAGGCACACATCCTCCCTGTCTTCGGTGTCTGTCTTGGGCTGCAAAGCCTCGCCATAGAATTCGGAGGAACGCTGAAGCGCCTGGCTGTCGTAAAGCATGGGCAGATTTCCACCATCCTTCACGAGGGCAGTGAAATCTTCAAGGGCGTGGGACCAGTGGAGGCTGTCCGGTATCATTCTCTGCACGTCTCCCTCAACGGCGACGAACCTCTGGAAGCCCTCGCATGGGCAGACGATGACGAAGAGAATGGACGCGTCCTCATGGCCGCTAAACACACCTCCAAACCTTTCTGGGCTGTGCAGTACCATCCCGAGTCTGTATGTACCTCCGGCGGCGGCGGCGAAGTCATCCGCAACTTCTGGAGGCTCTCGAAACTTTGGTCAACTATCAACAGTCGGGAGGTACAGCCATGGAGTGAAGCTACCGAAAGCCTGGTTGGCCGCCCTTGGCCGCACATTCATACCATTCCATCTTCTCGCTCACCATCTCCGAACATCACGTGTAACCTCACGACCCACATACTGGAATGTCAAAGTGTCTCTATCCCTAGACTGTGCGAGGTCCTGGGAGTTGAAGAAGAATCTTCGGATTTCGTTCTGCTCGACTCGGCCGCACAGCCAGGCCACTACACGATCATCGGCTGTCTTCACTCCTCGAGCCCCAGGATCACATACCGAATTGGCGAGCCTCATGTTCGCGTCACAACAGACGGCGTCGAGCGTCTGGAGGATGTGGGTAAAGATGTCTGGACGTGGCTCGCGGCTTTCATGCAGCCTCGGAAAGTGCGAGGTGGCGGCGAGAAAGATGTCCCGTTCTGGGGCGGACTTATCGGCTTCTTGAGCTACGAGCTCGGTGTGGACTCCCTCTGCCCTTCCCTGCATCCGCGCTTGGTCGCCGAACATGCTCAGCATCCGGACGTCAACCTTGTCTTTGTGGAGCGGAGCATTGTATTGGACACAAGGGCTGGACGGGTCTACATACAGTCTCTGTTACATGATGACGAGGAATGGCTGTCCACCGTCGCTGCGCTCGTGCGACATGTGGCACTTATCCAAGTACCTGCGGAGGACAGCCCTGGCCGGAAAAGAAGAAAGATGTTCCAAACACGGCCAACAGTCGTCCTCCCCGCCAAAGACACCTATATCGAGCGTATCCGTCGGGCGCAAGACTACCTCGCTTCCGGTGACTCTTACGAACTCTGTCTGACTGCGCCAACGCGGATCTCAGTGTCCGCGACCGCTGGCGGCGACCCCGGACGCTCAACATCCTGGGACCTGTACAAGACATTGCGCAGGCGTAACCCTGCGCCCCACTCTGCCTATCTCAGGCTTCACCCTTCAACGCTTCTGGGTTCATCTCCAGAACGCTTCCTGTCCTTTTCGCGGCCACCCGCGGGTGTATGCCAACTACGACCGATCAAGGGAACTGTGCGTAAGGCACCAGGTATCACACGAGCTGTCGCAGAACAAATGCTTGCCGGCAGCATCAAGGAGGTGGCTGAAAACCTCATGATTGTAGACCTGATACGCCACGACCTGCACGGGGTCGTTGGGGACGACGTGGTGGTGCCGCAATTTTGCGGTGTGGAAGAGTACGGGACGGTGTGGCAGCTTGTGAGCGTCGTGGAGGGACGGCTTCCCATAGGAACAGAACTTGATGACGGGTTCGATCTTGGGTGGGATGTCTTACGACAGAGCCTGCCTCCCGGTGAGTCTCACCTGGCAACGGTTCGCAAGCATGCGCTGATGTCTATGTTTGTAAGGGAGCATGACGGGCGCACCAAAGAAGCGTAGCGTGGAAGTTCTAGCGTCGCTAGAAATGGAGCCGCGGAACGTGTACTCTGGTGTCTTTGGCTACTGGGACGTCGGTGGCGGCGGTGACTGGTCGGTCACGATCCGCAGCTGTTTCAAGTACGCCTCCGCAGAACGTGCGCCCGGCGACGGTGTGGCGCAGACGGTGGTGGAATGGGCTCTCGGTGCCGGGGGCGCCATCACTGCTCTGTCAGATCCAGAGGCTGAGTGGGAGGAAATGATAGCAAAGGTGGAAAGCGTCCTGCCGGCGTTCAGCGCCGCGGCATGACCTGCGGTTGCCAAGTGTGTAAATGGGCGCAGATCGGCCTCATCGTCGAGCTCTGTGTTTCCTGTCCTGTACCCAGCCTGCGTTCAACTGCAGTGCGATGCATGTATTCTCGTATGCAACTACTGGGATTTGCAACACATGTTAATGTCTGAGATCTGAGAGCTAGCCAAGGGTAAGCGCCCACGCGACGAACGTGCACCCACTTGGACCAACCAGGGGCGGAACGTGCACTTGAGTGGGAAAGGGCGTTCAGATCTCTGGTCTCGTATAACAGTGTGCCTGAGAGTTCATTTGACCTGCCAGAGCTTCTAGGTTCGTCCTCCACGGTTCTATATCTACCACTCGCGCGACCACCTCCAAGTTTCAACTTCCCCCACCCATGGCTAGTACAGCCCTTCCAGAGCGTCTAATGGCGCCCTCGTATGCCGTGTACGATCGCTCGTCAAATCCATGCTACCAGCTCTGATGGCTCGTTCTGAAATAGATACCCAGAGTCCGTGCAATCGGTGGAGGACACCCTCTACAGTCCGACAGCCGCTTCATCCGCAGGGAACTACCCACGTCGCTTCTCGGATGCCAGTGCGGTGCTCCCCGTCGACCACTTCCGCCACCGGCGGGACAGTTCGGACGAAGAGTCCTCCTACACCTTTGGAAAGCCGCAGGGCCAGTATCTCAGCTATGCCCCCAGCCCTGGCATCTCGCGAGCCCCAAGCTTTCTCGACGATGGGCGTGTGACGGCCATGTCGAATTATACAGGTGTCACAATTGACGAGACGGACGATCCCGCCGTCGCACGATCCATATTCCAGCCGCCTAGACAGAACTCCTCCCTACCATCCCTCCCCTCGTCAACTCGCATTCAAGCCGATCCCTACTCTGTTCAGACTAGGTCCCCTTTGCTGGCCTCTGGGGCCTCCCGCTCCCCTAGATCCCCTCCGCTATCCTCCTCCCACTCCGTTTCTCCGATGACCGTCTCTCCTGTCGCCATGCCCCGGCCAACACTCACCCCGCGGCACTTTCCACTGCCATATACCTGCGCATTCCGCATGTCTCAAGATGGGTCCATGGTCCTCGCCCCGCCAGACGCGTCCACTGACCTGTCGCCGCTCTACCGCTTCGAGGTGGTTCCCAACGTTTTCACGCCGCTATCGTTCACCACGAGGATCTACAGGGGCAGCAGTGTGTTTCTCGGGCAGTTCGAGTACGTCATATGCTTCGTCGCGTCCCTGCATCTCTGATCAATCTGCGCTGATAGGATGGGCATCTCGAAAGACAAGCCCATGCTTTTCATGGACCAACAGTGGTGTCCGCTTGAGGGGGTTTTCACGAGGTTCCGCAAAGTCAATAGCCGCCTTGGGGTTTGCACCCTGTATTCTCTCCCAAAGAACGTTGCTTGATGCTTGCATTCCTCTAGGACCGCTGGGTCTGGCAACACGGCAACGTGAAGCTGCACTGGGACTGCCGGAACGAGTCAGAGATTCTGGTAAGCTGTGTCGGAGCAAGTCCCTCTATCGCCCATTGACTCGGCGGTGCCCCCATTACAGTGTTATGAGGGTGCCGATACGGACAAGATCCCTATTGCGCGCTTTCGCCCCGCGGCGACGCAGCCCTTGGAAATGTTCGCGAACAGCGCGCCGGTGAGCATGCTGGACATCAGCACATCCTCGCAGGCCCTCCTCGACGAGATCATCGTGTCGTGCATGATCGTTGAGCGCAGGAGGACCAACCCCGACGGGAGCCGGAAGGAGATTTTCAACTAATGTCGGACGGACTGGGGGCGAGACTTTCATTTACTCTGGGCTGCTAACACACCACCTAACACTACTACTGACCCGACTCGATCTTCGCTTGTTCTTGTTCTCGGGGTCCCAGCGTTTACTATTTACTAGTATTATCGATGTAGAAAATGCCTGTATAATTCGACGTACATCGCGCTCTCTAAGCGCGGCAGCGGCTGTAGAATAGATGATACTCGTCCATGTCATACTTTTCAACATTCTGAATACTTTATTGAGACAGCGACTTGTACAATGCGGGGTCCATTATGGGTACCGGTAATCCGTGATAGCGAGAACAACTGCAAAACTACGGGCGTTATTAGCGATGTTTGGCGAAGCGTATGAGGTGTGGCACATACATACGAGATACAATACGACAGGAAACAGAGGTAGCTGATAGGAGATAGATCAGTTGGACTGATCTTTCTGGTCCTGCTCTCTGAAAGCCTCAATGATAGCCTTCCCCTCCCGGATATCGTCGTGGTCCCAAGTCTTCAAGCCGTAGCTGTGCATGAAGTTGTTGAAGCCTCCGAAGTCCTTCTGGTATTGGTAGTCGGACTTGCGAGCGGGAGCTTCAGATCCGGAGTCTTTCTTGCTCTTGCTCTCGCTCTTGCTCTTGCTCTTAGGCATGGTGGCTGGCGAGGAAAAACTGAACGTTGTCGTACAGGAAAGTCTGAGGTGAGCGCCCGGGTACTGAGCAAGTGGCGTTCCTCCGAGGTTACTGGACCGTCGCGTCGGGGTCAAACTATCCCGACGTGCGTGGCGTTCGTGTTGAGGGAGGGGGAGAGTACAGGTCGCGTAGGTGGACGCGAAAGGGGGGGAGAGGAAGAGGGTCGATGGGTTGCGCAGTGTAAGCGAGGGACGCAACTAGGTTAGATACTACCTGGGCCCACCGGAAGACAACAGCGGTGAGGAAAAACAGGGATATTCGTGCCAGCTACCGGCGACGTAACCGAAGGGAATACGCAGGTGATAGTAACGGGGCAAGTCCGTCCATCTACAAATCTCTACTGTGCTCTGCTTATATACTGCTTGTGATTTGTAGTTGTTTTGCTCTGAGTCTGCGATCGAGCGTGTTTTTGGCTCCGCGTTTGAGAGCGATCCACGCATTGTTTCTGCCCCCGCCACTTCCGCTTTTAGGTTACAACTTCGGCGCACTTACATAAGCACGTCCATACTTCGCTCGCAGGATCGAGTCTCAAGCGAACAGAGCTCGTCGCTACTCTGCTCGGTACTCCAGGTGATTTATCGCCCCCGCAGCTTCTTGTTCCCCCCGGTTTCTGCACTATTCTGTACTTATTCCGACATGTTCTTCCTCGTTATTTCACACTCCTTCCTCTCCTCTCGTTTCTTTCGGTCACTCGTTGCGCAGTGCATTTTGTTTGCATCATCTGTGGCTAGAGTTATAAACTGTCACCGTGGTGCTTAGTACGGGGTGCATACCCATTTTCCTTTGCAGGCTGAACCTTGTTATGTCGGGTCCGTCATGGGTACCGGTCATCCATGACGGCGGGAACAATGGAAGCTCACGCGCGGTAGGCAACGCTCCAATTACACGAGGACTGGCAGGGCGTTTACTCTTCGAGCGAGGGAGAGAGACTGAGATCCTCACTCGAAGGCAGGCCGGAATAGGAAGGGTGAAGTCGTGACGATGCGACACGGAGTGCATACGAAGCAATACGAATAAGGAAGAAGAAGGTCCACAGGGTGACTATAATCGTGGCAGTCTGAACGAGGGAGGTTAGAAGGAAATGGGGAGCGAGATGATGAGCTAGGGACGAAGGTCGTATAACCACCCGAGCCACAAACGGCTGGCAGGAACTAAGGGCGATATCAAGATTAGTAATATTGTGCACGTGCAAAGCGTATAAAATGTGGCATATACAAAATACAATCCGACGGGAAACAGAC